CAAGATCAATAATTAATATTGAAGTTAAAATAATACTCCAAGTAAAATGAATTTACTCTTTGGTACCTATCTTTGAGATAGTATTTTATCAATGCACTGGCCTTACCAACTATTCCATACAATTATACTTTACGCAGTCAGAGAGACATATAAGACAGATACTGACACAGTCAAAAGCTTTCTTCTAATCACAGAAAATGCCACCAACTAATATTTTGTTATTCAGTGCATTTAATATATCCTTAATTAATTTGTGTGAGGCCATTTTTGTACATGAATTACTCCTAAAACCACACTGTTCATTTGCTGTTACGTTGTTACTCATTATATGTTGGTGCAGTCTTGCATATATAACCTTTTCAACAACTTCTGAAAATGATGTCGGTACTGATATGGGTCTGTAGTTAGTCATATTAGTTTTATCTGTTTTTAAATAATGGTTTTATTTCTGAATATTTCAACCAAGTGGTGAAGACACAAATTGAAAGAGATCTGTTACAAATATGTTAATGGGGAGCTAATGAAAGGTGTGCTGATTTTTAAAATTCTAAGCTGAATTTCATCTTACCCACCACGTTTTCTTGGTTTTAAATACTTAATTATATTTTCAGTTTCTTTAGTAGAGGTATGGTTCAGTTTAATTTTTGGAAAGGGAGTCGTGATAGCTCGACACAGATAATTTGAATATTTGTCCGCATCAGACTCTATAACGTGGCCGACATTTGCATTACCGGTATTGATCTTGTCAGCTATTGTTCGAAAATAATTATTAAATGAATCTGTAATCACATCATGTTTATCAGTTAACTTCCCATCAATGTTTAAAAACTGTATATCTGCATTATTAATTTTTCTACCTGTGTCTGATTTTATAATGTCCAAGTGGTTTTCATTTTGTTACTAGAATTAGAAATTAATTTATTATAATGAAGATTTTTAGCTCCTTTAATAACACTGGCCAAAATTTTACAGTATGTTTTATAATAATATTTTAGATCTGGCTCATACCGTGCCAAATCCCTGGAAAAATAGAAGAATTTAATTCCAGTGCGTTCACTGGAAGACATGCATCCTGGTGCAAAACACATTTTTTATTCCCATTTATCCTTCAAGAAACAATACAAAAATTATAACACAATCACAGTACACTCTCACTTTCTTGAGATTCTACGGTCCTAAGAAGGCTACACTGAAAGATGCTTAAAATACAGAAATACGATTTGGATGAAGTATCGTAATAACACTTTCTGACTTCACGTTTGCTTCTAATTTCATTGGGCGTAGTAAGCATAATCCATATACAAAAATAACACACACGTGAACTCGTGCGTAAATGTTGACTCTCGCTTCACAGCATCAAATCAAAATCTCTACTTACTAATTAATCTAATTAATTGCACAATATACCTCAATGGCGCACACATTACAAACTATGCAGTAGTACCGTATTACTGAGCCAAAGCCCAAAGCGTTTAACAGAAATTCAAGTTCCTCTGATTGGTTCACACTTATGCGATTCGACTAATTTTGATAGGTGTATAATGATCAATTCCAGTCATTTCCAGACTATCTAGTTCATGTAGGATGCATAGAGATGGCTGGTCTGCATGTTTCCCTCTCCCCTACGGGAGTGTCACCCTCCTGGTCAAGAATTTTCTCTTCAACACATCGTCCAGACCGACTCTGGGATTCACCCAACCTCCTATTAAAAGGGTACTGGGGGCTCTTTCACCTGGGGTAAAGCGGCCAGGGCATGAAGCTGACCACTCACCTCCAGCTAGTGCTGAGGTCAAGAAAATGTGGACCTATACATTCACTCCCCCATATGCCTTCATGGTGTAGGGCTTAATCAGTTAAAAACAAGGACTTTACCTTTTATGAATATACTGAAGGAGCTTTCATGGACAGCTGAAAATGGGTGTTCCTCCAGCTTGGGGATTGGGCATCAGGCTAACAAATCTTTGCCATAAGAACATTATTTTGTTACAAAATGTTACACAGGACTTTGCACTTTGGTGGATTCTTTGGATACACCAAGATTACATAATAATTCATAATTATTGGGAATTCTGAAATAAGAACAAGATTTTTCACGTTATTCATCCCCGTATTGGAGGTATTGGTAAAAGTATTCAACAAGGGATAGAACTAACATTCGGTATTCTTCTCTTCTTCCAAAATCAAACTGAATGGGAATCATCATTTGTCTCAGCTTTGCACAACGCTACAAGTTAAATAAAACTTGAGAATGGCCAGTGGAAACTAATGGAAAATGGAAAATACTGGTACACATGACCATGTTTGTTGTTATCTAATACCAGAGAAAACCATTTCTTACGCTGAAACATGAATAAAACTCAGCATGAAATCAAATGAATCAGTGAAGTTTAGGGGAATATTTTATATAGTAAACAGCAATATAATACATATTGTTATTAATCCAGAGCAATGTAGAGCTTAGTCTGATTAACAACATTCTGTAAAGATCATTATATACACAGCATTACAAAACAAGTTTACATATGCATGAGGAGGAGGGATTAATGATATCAACCATACCAATGAACAAATTCTTAATGCAGTGAATAACAAATACTTCAATCATCCCAATAAAAAATACAATAATTTCTAAATAAAGTCAGTAAAGTATTTCTAGAAGTGTATATTGATCAGAGAAATGACAGCTCTATTTCCTGCAGAAGCAGAGATTTCTTTTTGTAATTCATTTAACAACACACTCAGTAACTCAGATTATATAGTGTCAAATGAGTGGACACTGAGAAAATGATTAAGAAAGGATATGGAAATTAGTGATGGTGGTCTAATTTAACACACTATCCCAACATTTGCCTATGAGATCCATGGAAACCACAAGAAACCACTGTCACAACAGTGATGTCCTGGCTGAGATTCAAACTACACACCTTCCACATGTAAGTCAACATTACCAGTTGAGCCAACTTGTTCAGTCACAACTGCTCTTCTGTCATGAAGAAAATAAAGTTAGAGCTCCCTAAGGACTTCATCAAGGAAGAAATTAAAAAATGTTTCTTGGCTACCCGGTTCAATGCCAACAGATGCCACATGCCATCAGATACAGCAATTTTTATGTTCTGATTTTGTTGTAAGTGCTGCTGTTTCCTCCAACACATTTGTTCACAACCTCAATTATCTTAATCTTTGAAGATTCTGAATAACCTAGGTTTAAACATGTGTTTTATTACTTGGATTTAGGTTATATTACTTTATGAATCATAGAATAATGCTATAAAAATAAAATTACATTGCAGTAACAAAAATGCTGATTTATTTGTCTTAATTGTTAAACTGAGAAACATATATACAAAATCAGTTTCAACAAATACAGTCAATTTTAACACATTCTGTTGTGTTTACATTGTAATACTGAACAGTAATAATGATACTCTGTATTATAAGAGCCCTGTCATTTTGATCTGTGTTATGTGTTATGCCATTGCACAGGATCATGATGAAGTCTTGTCTTGGCAGATAAAATGGTGATTTGATACAGTGAATCTCTTCAGACATTTGTTTCGTTACTATATCGAAGTCAACACTTAGACATGTCCACAGTATATTTTGTTAACTCAAGATGAAAAATCAATCCTTCAGATCTTAGCTGTACAAGACCAACCTATTACTTATAAACCACAATGACTGTTTTTCTGGGCATTATCAATCATCCAAAACTTTATTAAATTGGAGGTTCAGAGGCTGGACTGTGTCTCCATTCTCATGAAAAAAAGACTCCTGACTTGGAACAAATTTATGGAGCTAGGGACTAGACCGGCCTCTAAAACGCTGTCTTAATAAAAATGTTGACAAAAGGTAATGGTCCCAGAAATCAGTCATATTAACCTTTAAGTGCCGAAGTGCCCCATTTGTGCCAGTGGTGAGTAAGGTCGTCGTGGCCAAAGTACCCAGTTTTGGCCAGTCAGGCATTTAAACTCTGCTAGTGGAAGCGCGCACACACGCCGCTAGTAGAAGAGCATGCACAGTCCTAAATATTTATTTTTAAATGTATTAATTACCAGACATACTTGAGTAAAACCCTAGTAGAGGAATTAAAATAATATCTAAATGAACAACAGCAAATAAAAATATACGTATGAGTCATGCCAAAACTTATCCACGATCCAGTAATTTTATTGCAGATTCTTTAGATAGGTATGTTAAAAATATATTGTAAAATTTGATGTACATACCTTGTTTGTTGTTACCTGCTTGATGTATATATAGGCTGAAATTATACTACAGTATTCGATTTCACTACGAACACACACAAAACAGATCACACTCTGTATCTCAGCCACGATGCAGCTGTCTGTTCATTCAAATAGAAGGGGCAATAATCTTTTGCAGCTCTAACGGAAGGTCTCAGCACTGAAGAAGGGACCCCTCTAGCTTTCTCTTGAATAGCCATGCTTTCATTCTTCTGTCCTTCAGTCAAAAGATTCGAAAATCCTAAGAGTGTAAGAAGTGCTAGCTGAAGACCAAATGATTTTATTGCTTCCATCTGTTTTGACACCAGGGACTGCTAAAATTTGTCAAGTGTTACAAACAGAAATGAGTTTATAATGCAGAACAACACTGTGAAGAACTGGGAAACCATTTTTGCAGTACGCATCAAAATTAAAACACAAAAAATTGAAAATAGAGTATAAAACTTTGTATTAAAATTTCAAATCTTCCGTTATAATATGTGACACTATGTTCTTTGCTGACATAAACAAAGTTAATTCCATCCATTTATCATAAAAATTGAGCTAGATACAGCATTTTTAAACACAACGCTTAAAATTGATTAATACACCATTGTCACATACTTATAGATCTTATTATACAAACTGATTTAATTCCATACATCCATTTTCTCTTAATAGGCAAATCCTAGAGAGACCTGCTCCCAAGATATGTCCCAGATTCAAAGTACTTGCTGAATCCAAAGTCAGCTGTCTGTGCCAACCCTACACACTAATCTATTCACTCTATCTTCATAGTCTTCACTCATTTACAGTATCACACGGGAGCTATACAAGTGTCACTGAATTACATTGTATTCATTAATAACATCCAACTGATTAAAATATTTTTCTTTACAACATTGTATTGCTCTAGTTCTGGTGCTGGTGCAGCATTTTAAACACACTTTTCAGACGAGATCTGAGGTTCTCACAATGGAGATTATTATAATTGTAATTTTACTCTTTATTCCATTCTGTTTAAAAGTTGAATTATTAATTTACCTTCTGTTCCTTACATGCCCTGTGAAGGGAGGTCATTATTTTTCCTTTCCCGTGTCCTGGAGTAGTTTATCACACCTCCCCCCAATATAAGTGTTACTAAGTCAAACATCAGCATTGATTTCCATTGAAAAATAAATCTTGCGGTGACAAATCATGTGTTGGACATAAACACCAACAGATATTGTCAATATTCATTTAGTGAAGACCAGTGCTCTATTATACTGCCCTGATAGATGGGAGGGGGAAACTACTTTAATAAATGGGCCTAACTCTAAAATCCAATGGTTTTATGTAATAAAAAAATAATATAATATGAAGGGATGGAAATCTGCAGTTTCCTTTCTAACAAAGACAAGGTAAGACATCAAAGAAACAACACAAAATCTCAGATATTTAAAATACTCACAGCAAGAGATTCACACGTGTTGTATCACCAAGAGAGTCGCTTGTTTTACCATAGCCACCTCCAACTCACAGCCCTTTATAACTACCATGGTGCCATACAGCTTGGGGCGGTTATGAAACATTACATGAACACTGTATTTTTCTTGGATGCTCCTCACATAGGAAGAATTGCTATCAGGCAGAGACTGCAGTGTTCCTACTATTGGCAACTCAAAGCTAAAAATCAATGGAGTCAGTTTCTGTGAACAGAATATTCAGTTTCATTAATAAGCTTACATTTTCATCATAAATCTTACAAGCCTAGCTACATTAATTATCACAACTGCATGTTTCACAGTCAGCTTAGAAATCCAGTCTGTGTTACATACTGTATAAGGAGGGGATATTTCTGGAAAGACAAAGCACATCTGTGTTAGGTGTTAAGAGAGTAACACAGAAATTTTCTCTTCAGATCTGATTCAGATACTGGATTCATCACTGTCCAAACCTATCACTGTAAGTTCAGTTCAGCTCAGTTCATTTCATTTCAATTTTCAGCATGTATTTCTCTTTTTATTTCTGAGGATGTTGTGAGAGCTGCCAACAGAAATTCCTAATTCCCCTGCAACTGACTCTACATGTGTCGATGATCAAAGCACCTAATTTTCTGAAAATTTTCACACTGTACTCCTCATGTATTAATTAAGAAATAAAAGTATTCAATAGGAAAATGTATAAAATAATGAAGTTAGAGTAATGTGAAAATCCTGGAAATTGAATTGGATAGATCATGTTATACCAGGCATGGGCTTCATCTCAATGTAACTGGGAAAAATAGAGTGCAAGAAATGATATTAAACCAGATATTGGAACTCTCAACTAAGGACAAGGGAGACATTATAGCCCAGGGTTGGATATATAATTTGAATAAACCTCGCCAAGTATAGGGAAGAGATAATACAAGTCCAGAAGTCAAGGAATCTCAACTGAAAGATGGAAAAGAAAAAGAAGATAGTGAAAGTGAGAACTTGAGTGATTGTGATTGTGACCAGACAGTGGGTGTACACAAAAATATTATGGAGGGAAATGACACCAGTAATCAACAAAAGGTAACAGAAACAATCCTTGATCGGGAACGAGAGCAGAGTAATAGAAGAAAAAGAAGACCACCTACCAGAAATGAGGATTCTTTATGGGAGTAAAATCAAATAAGTCTCTATTCTATTCTATTCTAAAGGCTCTCTAATTCTTGTACATCAAAATATCAGAAGTCTAGGAGGCAAAACTGATGAATTGAAGTGTTCAGTAGTTAGCAATAATATAAATCCTCACTTAATATGCTTATCTGAGCATCACATGTCTGACAAAAAATTATTATGCAGCAATTTAGCTAAAACTAACATATTTGTACTGTGTATATATAGGTCACCCTATGGGAATTTTGAGTACTTTATAAATAAGTTGGATAAAGTACTCAAATTAGTTTGATTTGTTTCATTCTGGTCCATCACACTAACAATTACAAATATAAATCACTCCGTCCAATGTGACCTGTAAGTTTTNAGCATATAAGTGTACGTACTTTACGTCTAAACAACTTATGTGATGGTGGTTTCCTATTTGTAGTGATGTTTGCCCTCTGAAGATGGTCCACAGACACCGAAACATGTAAGGGTGTTGAGTTTTCATGTAGTAAAAAACTTACAGGTCACATTGGACGGAGTGATTTATATTTGTACTCAAATTACTCTATAAAAAATTTAATTTATATTATGTGGTGATTTTAATGTAAATTTTTTAGAAGAGTCAACTCGTAAAACACAGCTATTAGTGCTGTTGCAATCATATAATATATTTCATACAGTACAGTTCCCAACAAGAATAACTGTGACCAAAAACTCTGCTACTGATAATATTTTTATAGATAAGGCAAGGATAAATTCATATGAGGTACTCTCTATTAGTAATGGACTATCTGATCACGATGCTCAGTGTCTCGTACTAAAAAATATCAATTTCCTGGAGAAGAAAAAAGTGCAGGGAATCACAAGAATATTAGTAAATGAAAACTCAATTGCTCAATTTCTTAATAAACTATCTAATGAAAAATAGGAAAATATACATAAACTAAATGATGTAAACGAAATATTCAACTCATTTTTAAATAAGTATTTATTTGTCTTTGAGTCATGCTTTCCAAAGCAAAATGTAACAAATTAACTCAAGGATAATGGCTGGATAACAGCGGGTATACATACATCCTGTAGACAGAAGGAATCCTTATTCATTCTCTGTCAAAACAGTTGCAACTATTTGTTTAAATCATACTATAAATCCTACTGCATGCTATTAAGAAGAGTAATAAGAGAAGCTAAAAGGAAATATTATAATCAGTTAATTACATCAGCTGAAAACAAAATAAAAACTACCTGGAACATTATCAACACTCAAACAGGTAGGACCAACAATCAGAATAAAGAATGTGTACCACAGACTTTTCAAAATAATAATAAATAAATACTGAACAAGCAGCTCATAGTTTTAATAAATATTTCACAACAATAACAGAAAATCTTAATATTAAGAAAACTAATATTTATACTGCAATGTCATACTTGCATTCCCATTTCTCAAATGTTGTTCCAGGTATGAATCTTAATTTAGTTGCACAAGAGGAAATAATTAGTATAATTAGCAAATTAAAATAAAAAAAAATCTTCAGGGTATGATGGTGTAACAAATAAAATTATAAAACTGTGCAGACAACAAATCAGTAAGCCTCTAACTTATGTAATTAATAAGTCATTAACCATGGGTCTATATCCAGAAAGATTAAAATATGCAATTATTAAGCAAGTATACAAAAAAGCGGAAAAGGCTGTTATAAGTAACTACAGTCCATTATCTATAGTAACTGGGTTTGCAAAAGTTTTTGAAAAAGCAATTTTTAGAAGATTCGATCATATCGTAAAACATAAAATATTACTTTCAGAGCAGTATGGATTCCAAAAGGGATTATCAACCAGTCACACTAGATGGAACTGTTTAACTTTTCATGATTTTACATGAAGGTTCATACAAATGTTGCTTCCTCAGATTGCTTCACTCTGGTCTCTTTATGCAAATAATTTCTCCTCCCGACGTCTCTTTGTTACGACAGTGCCGGGCTTGTGCTGGGCATCTGGATGGTTCAGTAGTTCAGGAGGGCAAGTCGACACTGGACTAGACAGTATCGTATGCTTCAAGTCATAGAACAGTTCAGAATCATCTTTGGTGCAGAATGAGACTGCCATACCATGTTTTCCTGCACGACCCGTTCGACCAATACGATGTGTATACTCTTCTATGCTCTTAGCCATGTCATAGTTGATGACCATGGATACGTCCTTGATATCAATACCTCGACCGGCCACGTTGGTGGCCACAAGGATGCCTTTGGTGCCCAACTTGAGGCTTGCTAGTGCGTATTCTCGTTGTTCTTGGCCCTTGCCACCATGCAGTGTGCAGGCATCATAACCACGCATCCCTAACGTCCTTGCCAACACATCTGCCCCTTTCCTCTGATTTACAAAGATAATGACTGGAGGTGTGACACCACGACCAAGGATCTCCAGCAACTTGCGGCTCTTGTCTGCCTCCGGCAGGATGTACACGATCTGCTCTACTCGTTCTGTTGGCTTGCCAGCAGACCCAATATAGAGAACGGCTGGGTGACGCAAGTATGTACGAGCCAAACGCTCCACTGCTGGGGGCATTGTGGCAGTAAACATGACTGTCTGTCTGTACTTTTTCTTTGAGTTGTAATTGGCCAGCAGTTCAATCTCGTCTTCTGCATCCTCAGTGTCTGGCTTCAGATTTGTGACTGGCATGTAGTTTAGGATTTTCTGCACATCTTCTTCAAAACCCATGTCAATCATACGATCAGCCTCGTCTAGCACAATATAGGTACACTGGTTTAGTACCAGATACCTGTTCTCAAGCACATCAATCAGACGCCCGGGTGTTGCTATCACAATCTCACATCCCATCCTGAGGCGGAAGCTCTGCTCCTCCCTGGACAATCCGCCCACCACAACCACTGTCCTGATTCCAAGCGGTTGTCCAAACTTGTTGGTCTCCTCCTCAATCTGCTGAGCCAATTCTCGAGTGGGTGCCAAGATTATGGAGTATGGACCCTGGTCAGCATCTTCAATACGTTCAATCTTGGGCAGAGACTGTATCCACGTCAGCAGAGGAATCAGGAAGGCCAGTGTCTTACCAGAACCTGTTTCTGCCACACCAATGATATCTCGATTCTGCAGGCCAATGGGAATGGCCTGTCGCTGGATAGGAGTGGGATCAGTATAGCCAACTTTCTCAACAATCTCCAGAATCTCATTAGGAATTCCAGACTGCTTCCAGTTCCTGATTGGATCAGGGATTCGACCACCCTTGATGGTGATGTGGTATTCCTCTCGAAATATTCGCCAGTCTCTCTCCGTCATCTCATCCTTAGGCTTCTCAGACCAGTGACGGTCATCCCACTTCTGTTTCTCCTCTTTCTTCTTGAGCTTCTTTAGGCGCACCTTCTCCTGCTCCTTCTCAGCCTCAGTTCGCCGTCGCTCCAGCAACTCCCTATAGAACTTGGACTGATGTCGTTTCTGGGCCTTGATGTCAATACCCGCAACATTACCTCGACCAAAGAACTGAACCTGATGCCGTTCCTGGTAGAGGGGATTATAGTCGATAGATGTGTCCTCTGAAGCATCCCAGTCAAACATAAACTTGCGGTCATTGGGCCGACGCACACGGCATATCTTCTCGACTGGTCTTAGACAACACTCTCTTATGATCTCCACTTCCTTCTGCTTGTCCTTTGAGTACTGGCTGTCCTCCTCTTTCTCTGTATTTTCACGCTCTCTGTCCCACCTCCTAAAGCCATCTTTGTCCCGATCCTGATCTTTGTCTGCCTTGCACAAATCATCAAATGCCTTTTTGGCCTCCTTGTAAAATTCAGTCCACTTTTTCTTTTCTTCTTCTTCCATCTTATGTCGTATCTCTTCTTCCTCTTGTTGCTGTTTTCTCAAAGCCTCAGCTGCACGTTCTTCCTTTGTCAGAAATTTGGGCTTGCTGCGAGCTGCCTCTTCAGCCTGTTTTTTGGCAAGCAGCTCCTCGAGTGATAATGGTTCCTTCTTGGGTTCCTCCTTTTCCTTCATGATGCTAGGTTGGGTAGGTGTGCGTTTTCGGTCCCTGTACCGATGCCTCTCTCGCTCTCGGCTTCTGCTGCGAGACCGTTCTTTCAAGTCTGTTAACTTTCTTCTTTCCATGGTCTTTCTCTCTTTAGAGTTATGGCGAGACCTACATGGTCTCTCACGACGCTCTCTTTCCTTTTCCTTGCTACGACTGCGTCGTTGTGGCATCTTGTCCATGCCCATAGATTAGTGTAACGTGTTTTGTCTCCACTGTGGACGCCCTTCAGGTTGTTAAAAATAAAACTGAATAACAATGTTCAAGTGCAGTTCTTTGTCTAACTGGTAAATGGGCAGCACGGAAGTGTAGCGATAAAGCATTCAACACAGTAAGTTGGAATTCATAACCTTAATGGGAAGAAACGAAAGTGTGGCGCAAATACAGTTCAATGTAGTTCTTTCTTCACAGATACGTTACCACATTAACGAAAAACTAGTCCAAATTAAACACTATTAACATTCCCTAGGGAAAACTACACAAGCCGGGTGTACTTGACAAGCCATAACACGTCCAACAGTCTAAGCCGAATCAATTCTTGGTCATGTGTCACTGCTGATCGTTGATAACCCAAAAGTAAAATCCAACCTGCCGCAGAAAAAAAGTTTACCTTTTCAACCGATTATTTTACAGCAACAGGAAGCACGATCCACCAACAAACTTCCTTTTCCTCACTAAAACATGAAACTAGTCTACTTCACAACACACGATTACACAACACAGCGACATTCAATGACGTCAGCCAGTGATACAGCCTTCTACATTCAACACGAAGCCAAACACATGCTCGCCAACTGTGTGACGCAAAATGGCAGCCTTCGGAAAAGTAACAGAGAGAGAGAGAGAGAGAGAAATCATCACCTCAACGAAAATGCATGTACGTACATAACTAAGTAAGCTAAATCCTTTCCACAACGGAATGGCACATCCGCTGGTTGTGGACGGTGCTACGAGCAGGAGTCCTGAAAGCGTAGTCGGTATCGGTCGGTATAGCGACTATCTAGGGACTGGATGACCGAGGGGTCGGAGTTCTAGTCCCGGTAGGGTCAAGAACCAGAAGAGCACCAGAGCGATCGCGGTATCGCGGTGGCGGTGGCGATAAAGTTTTCTCACGCCAGCACCGCGGTGGAAGCGATCAGTTTGAAACATCGCGTAGGCACAACGTCGTAAACATCGAGAAGTTCTGGAAGGCTGCCTGTCTGAAAGCGTCTGTAAGTTCAGCAGGAAATATCTAACCGCCAACGCGAAAGATCTGTTGTTTGGAAGCACCATCTAAAGTATGCCGAAATCTATAACACTGTAATGGAAAATTACGTGGCTGGGGCTAGTTGTTGTAGAAATAATGCTATGAAAGGTGGAACATGTATATTTGTTCTCAACTATATAAAATTTGTTGCTGTAAATCTTGATAAATATTGTGTAGAATTTGATATAGAACTTTGTGCAGTAAAAATTTGACATGAACCATCATATGTTTATATTTTCTGTGTACAGAGCCCCC